TCTGCTACAACGTCCCTGGTGCATCGTTTCTCGGGCTCCGAGGGTGACAGCTTCCTGGAATCCTGTAAGCCTCCTCCTGGTCTCGATCGGCCCGCTTACAACGTCTACATAGACAACATTAGCATCTTTGGCAGAGGTAAGTCACAGACCGATAGGATCGCCAACCAGGTTTTCGACGGGGTAGAGAGTGTCGGCTTTCGGGTTCACGAGCGCGCGTCTGCCAGCAAGTGGGCTCTTACGCTCGGCCTAGAGATCGACTTCTTGCATAGCACGGTCCAAGGAAGAAGGCAGAAGAGGTGGAAGTTGAAGGCTGTCCTGGAGTGGTTGGCAGGTGCTCCGTATGTGTCGGGTCAGGAGATTGAGAGACTTCTGGGCCATACCACCTTCCACTTCGGTCCTAATCGGCTGTTCTTGTCCATCTTTAACAACGCCTGTGACTTCATTCGTTCGAGTTACACTTCTCGAGTGCGTCTCTGGCCCTCGGTGGCAAGGGAGTGCTGGGCCGCTGGGTGTCTTATCTCGTTCGCGTTCGCAGATCTGGGAAGGGACTTCGACCCGCTCGTGAGCTGTTTCGACGCTAGTAAGTGTGGGGCAGGGGTCGTCACGGCGCCTTGGGACTCGGCTCAGGTTCGTTCAGAATGCGAGTGGCAGGAGAGGCGGCGGTTCAAGTGGGATGTGCACGATCGGGTTGCGCCCAGGGACAACAATTTCTTATCGCTGGACTGGGGGGACATCGAAAGCGTCAAGCCATGTCGTGACAGGTCGTCGCTCTGGTCCCTGGACAAGTCGTTCAGAGAGGTCCCGAAGGAGAACCTAGTGGGCCTCACCTGGACCAAGGTCGTTCGGAGTTTCTGGAAGGACGAGGAGCCGATATTCTGTCTGGAGGCCCGCGCGGGCCTGCTGGCGGTGCGTCATAAGTTACGGGCGGTCTCGAGTTTCGGTGAGACTCATCTGCACCTTGGGGACTCCATGACCGCCACCCTGGCTTTCGAGAAGGGGAGGGTCAAACATCGAGGTCTTCTGGGTGCCTGTCGTCGTCTTTTGGCTCTGAGCGTGGCTTCCAACACCAGACACCACTTCAGGTGGGTGCCTTCAGAGCTGAACCCGAGTGACCCTGATTCACGCTACTTCGAGCTTCCAGTCGACAGCGATGGCCGACGCTTGCTTCGTCGCTCCACGTCTCGTGCCTGGACGGTGCAGGCAGACGGCAAGGGGAGCTGGCGGGTCGTCGACCCAGGCGGTGGTGCTCTCGCCGACGGCGGACCCTCTGGACACGGTGGTGGCCGAGAAGACACGTCGTCCAGCTCGACACCTGGTGCTCAAGCGACAGAGGGCGCTGAAGCGCGTCCGTGCCATCGGGGGCGTGGTTCCAGCCCTGAGGGCTCTGGAGGGCGATCGCACAGTGCTGGAGAACTCTCACCCGTCGGCTCCCGTCAGGAGGGACTACTGTCGGCGGCTCGACAAGTTTTGGGAGTTCGGTCGAAGCCAAGGTCTCTCCTTGGCCAACCTGAAAGTCTGCGACGACGCGCTGCGCGGCCTTGCCGACCTGCCGTTCCTGGACGGCGAGCAGGTCGACGCGGGGACCAAGCTCCCGGCCGCGCTGCAGGACCACGACGTGCAGCGGTTCGACAGGCCCTGCCTTCCTCGCTTTCGGCGGGTTTTTCGAGCTTGGCGTCGGAAGGGGCCTGTGGGCAGCAGGGGCCCTCTGCCGTTCCGCCTTCTGGCGGGCATCTTGGGCATCCTGTCGCTCCATGGCTTCCACGAGGAGGTGCTGGCGCTGGCCCTCATGTTCATCTGCTACCTGCGCCTGTCCGAGCTCGTGACGGTGGCCGAAGGCGACCCTTTCGAGCCCGTGGCCAACGCGGGCGTGGCCCTCGCGTGTTGGAGTCTACTCCTGCGGCCTTTCGGGAGGGAGGAGCCGACCAAGGTCGGCCATCTCGACGACACGCTCCCGCTCGACAGCCCCGACTCCCCCGGCTTGGGGGCCCTCCTTGCTGGATTGCGCGGAGGGGACGCGGAGGTCTGGCTCTTCAGTTTCAGCCAGATGCAGCTGCTGCGCCGCCTTCAGGCGGCTTGCCGCGCGGCAGGCCTGGGCTCGCTGAACATCGAGATGTACCAGCTTCGCCGCGGAGGGGCGTCGAGGGACTTCCTGATGTAGACGAGGGAGATCCAGGCGGTCAAGCAGCGGGGGCGCTGGACGAACGATCGCACTTTGCTTCGCTGCATGAAGACGGGCAGGGGGCAACTGCTTCACAAGGGTATGACGCCCGTGTCCAACCGCTGGTGCCAGGTGGCGGAGGCCAACCTTTCGCTCGTCCTTCGCGGCGGATGGCAGCCTTCCCTTCGGCCGCCAAGAGCCTGCCTCGGTCTCTCACGGGCGGGTTTGTGATCGAGGTCTTCTCAGGCAGCGGTAGGCTGGCCAAATCCTTCGCGGAGCTGGGCATCCCGGCGCTGACCTGGGACATCGAGCACGGCCCAGCTGGCGACTTGCTGGACGAGGACGTTCTGCGCTGCGTGCTGTCGTACATCGCCTCTGGTAGGTGTCTTTTCCTCTGGTTGGGCACGCCGTGCACTTCTTTTTCTCGGGCCCGAAAAAACGACGGTCGCGGCCCTGGGCCTCTTCGGGACCCCTGGCACCTGGACGGCCGCCCCGAGCTTTTTCCCCCCGACCTCGCCAAGGTCGAGAACGGGAACCGTCTTTTAGAGGTTTCGCTAATGCTTATGCGATGCGCATCAGCTCACAACGTCCCAGCTGTGTTGGAAAACCCTAACACGAGTTTTTTATGGGACATGCCTCAGATGCTAGAATTTCGATCATCTCATGGCACTAAGTTCACGGTGCTTCATTTCTGTCAATATGGAGAGCTTTGGGTTAAGCCCACCCGTCTGCTCCTCCTGTCTTGCTCTCACCTTTCGGCCATTGGAAAAACTTGCACTGGCCGCGGTGTGTGTTCCAGGACTGGAAAGCCCCACGTCGAGCTTCGGGGCAAGGACCCAACAGGAACCTTCTGGACCCTCCGCGCTCAGCCTTATCCTCGCCAGCTCACTCGTGCTGTTGCTTCACTGATGATGTCTCACCTCATCAGTGCTGGAGGCTCCTCCTCTTAAGCTTTCGGCCAGAACGCTACTCTGGTGCGGGTGTGGGTGCTCTTTTGTGGCTCTTGGTGGTTGGTTGCCCCCTGCTGTCCTTGCCTGGTGGCGTCGGCGGGATGACTTCGGGTCCCCGTCCACGCCCGCTGGGCCAGGGTAGCAGTTGGGCTACCAGCCTCCTGCCACGGCAAGATCTGTGCCTCTGGCGGTGAATAGTTTTACAGTCTTCGAGCCTCGGTGAGATGCTCTCTCTGGCGCGTGAGCAGAACGTGAATATGGATGTTCCTTAGCTTGCGGGATAATCCATCTATGTTCGGCGGGAGCGCCGTGGTTCACACAGTCATCAGGTGAATTGAAACTCTGTTGATTCTGTGTCCGTAGTCCGACTTGTTTTTGCTCCCCACCCACTCCACCCTTTCTTGGGGTGCTCTTTTGTGGCTCTTGGTGGTTGGTTGCCCCCTGCTGCCCTTGCCTGGTGGCGTCGGCGGGATGACTTCGGGTCCCCGTCCACGCCCGCTGGGCCAGGGTAACAGTTGGGCTACCAGCCTCCTGCCACGGCAAGATCTGTGCCTCTGGCGGTGAATAGTTTTACAGTCTTCGAGCCTCGGTGAGATGCTCTCTCTGGCGCGTGAGCAGAACGTGCATATGGATACACATATATATATATATATATATATATATGTAGACATGTATGAATTTAGCAACAGAAATGGTGGATGTTGTGCCGCGATATGTTATGCTATGCTCTGTTATGCTATGCTATGCTATGCTATGATATGCTGCGCAATGCTAGGCTGGGCTAAGCTATGCTATGTTATGCTATGATATGCTATGCTGCGCTATGCTATGCTGCGCTATGCTGCGCTATGCTATGCTATGCTATGCTATGCTATCCATGCTATGCTATGCTTTCGCTTTGCTTTGCCGTCGCTTGTCCCTTTACTTTTGTCTTTGCGTTTGCTTTTGCTTGGCACTCAGGGAGCGCAACTGGGGGAACCGCGCGTTTGCGTTTACCTTTGCTGTTGCTTTTGCTTGGCTCCCAGGGGACTGGGGGACCCGCCCGGGGCACTGCCCAGCCCCTTTTCAGCCAACAGAGTAAGAACCCTTCTAGGCAGAGCCTAGGTAGGGAATAAGTTTAACCAACACGTGTTACATTCAATCAACATAAGCGTGATGAGCAAGTCAGCTGATCTACCTCAGCTGCTGGGTCTGCGGGCTTTCGCAGGGCCGTTCGGCCGCCCTCCTGACTGATCTGGGCCCGTGCCCTCGGGTTTCAAGGGCCCCGGGAAGCACAGGGGACCGTCTGCAGTGGCGTCCAGGGGCCCCCCAGGGCCAGAGACCTTGGGGGGTCCCGTTTTAGGGGTGGGGTCGCAGTGGTCGAACGATCCGAGAAAGAAGGCCAGATGCAGTCGTGCAACTTCGGAGCCGGAACTTGTGTTACGAGCCAGACCCTGCCGCCTCCAAGGGGCCGCATGTACGCATCCCCTCTCTCCTCCTGCCTCCTCTCCTCCCCTCCTCCTCCTTCTCCCCTCCTCCTCTGCCTCCTCCCCTCCCCCTCCTCCTCCTCTCCTCCTCCTCCTCCTCCTCCTCCTCCTCCTCCTCCCTCCTCCTCCTCAGGTCCGCTACGACACGCGTCCGCGGATAGAGAAAATCAGCGCCATGGTAAGGGATGGGAGGGAGGGGTAGGACGTCAGATATGACGCGAGCGCACCTAGCTTGTCCTTCTCCTCCTCCTCCTCCTCCTCCTCCTCCTCCTCCTCCTCCTCCTCCTCCTCCTCCCGGCCCGAGGAGCGGAAGGTGACGTGGCAGCGGCTGGACGGCGGCGGCGCGGCCCCAGACGGCGGCGCGGCGGCCGCCGTTTCCAGCTCGGGCACCGGCAGCGGCGGCAAGGGCGGCAAGAGCCAGAGGGCGCCCAGAGGCCAGGATCGCGAGGGGAAGGGGGGCGCGAGGAGCAAGGAGCAGTCAGGGGGGGGGGGGGAAAGAGGGGGTGGTGATGGGGTGATGGCTCGGGGGGGGGAGGCGCGAGGAGCGGGGAGGAATCGCGGGATGGCCAAGAGGGGGGGGATGACCAGGGAGGGAGATATCACGGCCAGGGCCATGAGCTGCCTCCCCAGGTTTGATGGCTCCTCTTCTTACTTCAATGTGTTCCTTGGTCCCCCCCCCTGGTCCGCGCACGTGCCCTAGGCCATGCTTTGCAAGCCTCCCTCTTGGACGCCTCCCTCTTAGACGCCCCCGAAGGAGGGGGGGGCCCAGACATGCCCGCGCCGTGGCGAAATCACGGCGGGAGGTTGTTGGTCGTCTTCGCCGTCTGGGGGCCCTCGCCGAGCCTTGGGACCGTCAGAAAGCGACTCGCGATGATAAAAAAACGGCCCTGGGCCGCAAGAGCCAGAAGATTCCCACAGAGGCCAGGACCGCGAGGGGGGGGAGAAGGGGGAGGACGGAGCGAGCCCAGACATCCGACGATATGGTTTTCTCGATCGGGGCGTTGTTCCTTGATTTCGGCCTCTGGAGTGTCGGGCTCCGGCGCAATCAAAACCAGATCCGGGAACAACAAGTGACTTAAGGGAAAGGGTCGGGACCTCTGGGGAAAGGGGTGGAGGAGGCATATGCGATGAGAAGGAAAGGACTCCGAGGAGGAAAAGGTACCAATACCGCTACCCATTGCCTTGTGTTCGCTTGTTTGGGCCTTGTTGGATGCCCTCGCCGCCACGGCTGGATTCGCTTCGGAACCCTGGTCAGAGCGCACCCCGGGACAGGTCCGTGGAGTATAGCGGTCTCTGCATCGTTTTCTTCCATCCGACGGGGGGGGCGAGGCGAGGGGAGGACAGCGGGGGGAGGTGTCGGTCGGCCGGACGGACTCGGCAAGGAAACCTTGGGAGGACATAGTGGGAGCAAACGATTAGACAAATCCCCCCCCACCAAAGGGGCCTCAAAATACAGAATTGAGTTGGGCAGACTAATATCAATCCAGCCACCAGATTTGTTTATCTTCTGCCCCCAAGCAATTTTTCTGCCGTCGTCGTGGTCGTCGGTCGTCGTCGTCGTCGTCGACGACGACTACAGCGGGCCGACGCAGCACGCCCACCCCCCTATGGGGCATCAGCGGTTCGCCGTCGTCATCGTCGACATAGCGGGCCTACGCAGCACCTCCCCCCATAGGGCATCCGCGCTGCGGTGTCGTTGTGGTCGTCGTCGTCGCCTACGACGTACGGCGGGCCTACGCAGTTTCCTCCCCCCCACATAGGGCATCCGCAGTGCGTCGTCGTCGTCGCCGTGGTCGTCCGTCGTCCTGGTCCTCGTCGTCGTCGTCGTCGTCATCGTCGTCGTCGTTGTCGTCGTCGTCGGCTACAGCGGGCCTTCGCAGTACCCCCTATGACGCATCCGTCGTGCGTCGTCGTCGCTTTCGTTGCCCGTCGTCGTCGTCCTCGTCCTTGTCCTCGTAATCGTCGTCGTCGTCGTCGTCGCCATCGTCGTCGTCGTCGGTCGTCGGTGGCGTCGTCGTCGTCGACTACAGCGGGCCTACGCAGCACACCCCCCCATAGGGCATCCGCAGTGGTGTGATCGTCGTCGTCGACTACAGCGGGCCTACGCATCACCACCCGCCCCAGCCATAGGGCATCCGCAGTGCGTCGTCGTCGTCGTCGCCATTCGTCGTCCTCATTCTCGCACTAGTCCTCGTCCTGGTCTTCGTCGTCGTCGCCGGTCGGCGCAATCGCCCTCGAGGACAACCGCGGCGACTGGGAGGAGGAGGAGGAGGAGGAGGAGGAGGAGGAGGAGGAGGAGGAGGAGGAGGAGGAAGAGGAGGAGGCGGAGGAGGAAGAGGAGGAGGAGGCGGAGGGGAGGAGGGAGGAGTAGGAGGAGGAGGAGGGACTCGGAGGACGAGTTGGAGGAGGAGGAGGGGGAGGAGGAGGAGGGGGACCAGGACGAAGAGGAGGAGGACGAGGAGGAGGAGGACGAGGAGGAGGAGGAGGAGGACGAAGAGGAGGAGGGCGACGATGAGGACGAGGATGAGGATGAGGAGGAAGCGGAGGAGGAGAATGAGCAGAAGGTGGAAGGGAAGGAGGAGGAGGAGGAGGAGGAGGAGGAGGAGGAGGTCGAAACATGTAATACGTCAAGGGTATGATTCGCAAACTTTTGGCGGCTTCGTGGACCCCCCCCCGGACCCCCAGACAACCCAGGATTGTCCGCCCTCCGTCGGGCTGATCCCCCCCTCTCCTGTTGAAGGGGCAACTAGGCCCGCAAATTGTTTGGTCCCCTAGATTTTTTCCGTAAAGAAAACATATGGGAAAAAAACGATCAGTTCGATGGTTTGAACATTTGGCAAGCACCAATGAGTAATATAGAGGTAATCGATTGAGCAAGATCGATTGAAAGAGATCGAGAGCGATTGAGTGCGGTCAATTGAGTGAGATCGGTTGAGTGATATCGAGCGCGTGAGATCTATTGAGTGAGATCGAACCAAGATACCGCAATCGAGAACGCGGTACCGGGATCTCGGGAACCAAAACCCGGAACCGGGAACCCCGGTACCTGGAACAGGGAACCCGGGAACCCCGCGATTGGGATCGCGGAGCCGGGAACCTGGGAACCAAGAACCTGGATTGAACCCGGGAACCCGGAACCGGGAACCCGGGAAGCAGGCGGCCCACTGAAATCGGCCGCCAACTTTCGGCAAACCCTTCAAGATCCGCTAGGACCCCTTCAGTGCAAGCATTGATTGGGGAACAATCGAAAATGCAACTAGCCCGCCCCACCAACTAGCCCGCCCCACCATCTGGAGAGTCACCACCAATGGAGAATCATCACTTTATTTGGAAGCTACAATGCATCTTCGAAGGACCTCTTCCGTCCTGTAAGCGGTGGTATATTCTTTGTCTTATGCAGGTCCGACGCGGATCTGGCGCGGATTCGACGAGGAGGATTCAACGCGGGGTCAACTTGTACGTGGATTTTAGGTGGATTCGACGCGAATCGCAACGCGACGGGACAGGCCGAAACATACCGAGATCCTTGATCGCGTCCCTCCTTTCTCCTCGTGAGGCCCTCCAGGGCGCCACAGCCGCGAGATCCGCGACGTGTGGGCGAGCAACTTCCAGCAGGAATTCAGCGAGATGGTGGATGCCGTAGCGAGGAGCCGAGAGAGGAGGGACAGGAGGGAGAGAACGACGACGACGACGTTGAGTTCGAGAATGAGGGGTGAAGAGAGGGAGGAGTTGGGGGAGGAGGAGGAGGAGGAGGAGGAGGAGGAGGAGGAGGAGGCGCAGGAGGAGGAGGAAGAGGAACAGGAGGAGGAGGAGGAGGAGGAGGAGGAGGAGAGAGGAGGAGGAGGAGGAGGAGTTGGAGGGAAGAGGTGAGGCGAGCGGGGAGGCGGGGTGGGGGAGAAGGAGGGAAGGGGGGGGGAGGGAAACATCGAACCTTGCTCCTCCTCCTCCTCCTCCTCCTCCTCGTCCGGCTCCTCCGTGGCCAAGGAGCGGGGAGTCCACGATCCTGTCGCTCTGCGTCGACTTCCCGGCCCTGTGCTGCTCAGACGCGAGGTCAGAGGAGGCCTCGAGACAGTACAAGGTGCTTCTCCCCCTTCTTTCCATTTCCTCCCCGTATCCTCCTCCTCCTTTCCTTTGTGCTCCCTCTGCTGATCCTCCCTCCGTCCTCCTCCTCCCCACTGCTGTTCCAGGTAGCCGCGCTGGCGCCTCCTGGCAGCCCAGCGTGCCCGGGCGGTCCGGCTGCCTGCAAGATGGCCTGGCGCCTTCTTCGCCACCCGATGTGCTCTGGTAGACCAGCGCCTTCTCGAAGCCCACCGCCCTTTCGCGGCCCGGCGTGCTCCGGCAGACCAGTGCCTTCTCGAAGCCCAGCGCCCCCGTGGTCGCCCACCGCCGCCTGGCAGCCCGGCGCGCTCCTCCTCCTCCTCCTCCTCCTCCTCCTCCTTCTCCTCCTCTCCTTCCTCCTCCTCCTCCTCCTCCTCCTCCTCCTCCTCCTCCTCCCCCTTCTCCTATCCTCCTCCCTCCTCCTCCTCTCCTCCTCCTCCTCCTCCTCCTCCTCCTCCTCCTCCTCCTCCTCCCTCCTCCTCCTCCTAGCCCGGCATGTTCTGGCAGCGCGGCGCGAGCTTGGGCGGCCTGGCCCGCCTTCTCGTATCCTGGCCCCTTCTCGTGGCTGCTTTGGAAGGCCGACGACTTCTCGTAGCCCAGCTCCTTCTGGCCTCCCGTATCCCATCGTGGTCTGATCGCCCAGGCCGTACTGGCAGTCCAGCGCCATCTGGCGGTCTAACTTCTGTTTCGTGGCCGAGCGTGTTCTGGTCGCCCAGCGCCTTCAGGTGACCCAGCGCCTTGCAGCAGAAGCGCCTCCAGTAGTTGCACTGCCCGTCGACGCCAGAAGTGTACTCCGGCATGCCTGGTCATCCCACCAGTCCCCCCACTCGCGCATCTGGGCCTGCAACTACCGCAGGAATTGCCAGGCCTTGGGTGCTGCGTCGCCAGCTGGCGCGTCTCCTGGCGTGGAAACGGGGGTTGTAATTCATACTCTTGAGGGGCATGTTTTCCACCACCACCACCGCCATAAGTTGGAGGGGGTCCTCCTCCGCCTCCTCCTCCTCCTCTTCGTCGTCCTCCTCCTCGTGGTCGTTGTAATCTTTGTAGGTATGCGGCCGCGCGAGCCTCGCTGGCTCGCCATGCGGCGCTCGCGCCATTCCGCGGCCCGCCTTCTGCGCAGCCGCCAGGGCCGCCCCCCCAAAAAGGGGGCCACAGAAGCGGCCACAATGGCCCTTGAGCCAAAGTGGACAGCAAGACACTCAGTGATCCGGAGGGCGGGAAGATGATGTCAAATACCAACCGAGGATACTCAGCGCTCGGTTTCAAGACCCCACTGAGTTTATCCAATTGGACATTGATTTATTTCGTTCGGTATTCTACACCAGCCAGGAGGATGAGAAGGCGAAGGAGCAGCCGATTAGGCCAGGAGGAAAGTTCGTATGCCAAGAGACTCGGGACGATGGTTTTATATGTGGTACGTGCTGGCCTAATAAGAAACAATTCGTCGCCTACATAGCCAACTCCAAGGGTGGCTCACAAGGCTAGCTGCACATCGGCAGAGAACCCACGATCAAGAATCCATGCCCGATATGTAAGAGCGTGTTCGGGGACCGTGCCAGCGCTGTCGCCGCCGCCTCCTCTCTCCTCTGCTGCCGCCGCCTCCTCCTCCTCTTCCTTCTCCTCATCCTCCTCCCCATCCTTCTCCTCCTCCTCGCCCTCCTCTGCCCCCTCTTCCTCCTCCTCGAATCCTCCGCGTCCTCACTATCATCCTCTCCCCTCCTCTGCTTTCCTTTCCTCCTCCTCCTGTCATGTAGCAGGGAAACGCAGAAGCGGCCGAAATCTTACGGGCCTGATCTTGATCCTCTTCCTCTCTTTCTCCTCCTCTCCCTCTTGTTCGTCATCCTCCTGCTCTCTCCTCCTCATCGTCCTCCTCAGCCTCTTCCTCCTCTGCCTGCTCATGCTCCTTTTCTTCGTGCTCCTTCTGTTACTTCTCCTCATCCTTCTCCTCTTCCGCTTCTTCTCGTCCTCCTCCCCCTCCGTGTTACTCCTCCTCCTCCTCTTCCTCCTCCTCCTCCTCCTCCTCTTCTTCCTCCTTCTCCGTTTTCCACCTCCTCCTCCTCCTCCTCCTCCCTCTTCTCCACCTCCTCCGTCTTCTCCTCCTCCTCCTCTTCTCCCCTTCCTCCTCCTCCTCATCATCATCATCAACATCATCATTCTCATCTTCTTCATCCTCCTCCTCATCATCAGCATTACCATCATCATCATCATCATCATCATCAGCAGCATCAGCATCCTCATCATCGTCATCCCCATCGTCATCAGCATCACCAGCATCATCACCACTATCAGCGTCAACGTCAGCATCATCATCAGCAGTATCAGCAACAGCAGCGATTATACCAAATCCAACAACCGCAACAATGGTAACCACATCAACAGCATCAGCACCAGCATCAGCATCCTCAGCAGCAGCATCATCATCACCAACATCAACATCACCAACAGCAGCATCACTGTCAGCAGCAGCATCAGCATCACCATCACCATCAGCATCACCAGCATCATCCGCATCATCATCATCATCATCATCATCATCATCATCATCATCACCACCATCACACCACCATCACCATCATCACCAGCATCATCATCATCATCATCAGCATCACCATCATCGTCGTCACCATCATCATCAGCAGCATCGTCATCGGCATCACCATCGTAGTCATCGTCACCGCCACCACCACAACCACCACAACTGCCATCAGCACTACCAGCATTATCACCAGCCGCATCACCACCATCGTCATCATCATCATCATCATCATCATCCTCATCCTCATCCTCATCATCATCATCATCATCACCATCGTCATCAGCAGCATCAGCATCATCATCATGACCATCACCATCAGCAGCGTCATCACCACCATCATATCCTCCTCCTCTTGGTATCGCTCGGACGTGTACACTTTTTTCTCGGCGGGGATTGGTAAGGAGCATCGTGGATCATCCTGCGAAGAAGCCACGCACGAAACCGAAAAAAACACAGGGAATGGACGTCCGAGCGATGGCCAGTCCTCCGTTTCCTCCCCCTTCCTCTCAAGGAGCTTCGCGCCACCGTCGACGACCACTGGCCCCTCCAGGCGGGCATGGTGGTGTCCACCTCGGACGGCCTGATTCCGAAGGCCCTCGCCCTTCCGCTGGCGCCGAGGGTGGCCCTCTGCGGGGCCATCCCAGCTCGCAAGAGTGCCGACGAGCCCGTTGCCCCCCCCCCCGTGGGCGGGAAGCGCATTCATATAGCCGCGTCCTCGCGGGCACTGGCTCCTTGGGCGTGGATGCGGGGCTTGCTTCCACGGGTCCTCCTCCTCCTCCTCCTCCTCCTCCTCCTCCTCCTCCTCCTCCTCCCCCGCCTCCTCCTCCTTCTCCTCCTTCTCCTCCTCCTTCTCCTCCTCCTCCTCCTCCTCCTCCTCCTGACCCGCGAGGAACGGATCCATGCGACAGCGCATCCAAGAGGTCGAGCCCCAGAGTCCAGACCGCGAGGGCGTGGGTGCGGATGTGTTCGCCGCTTGTGCGCCCTCAGTTCCCACTCTCCCCTCCCACACGGGACCTGGGCCCCCCCCTGGGGAGGGTAGCAGTGTCGTCAGCCAGACGTCTCGAGCACCCTGGTTCCCCGACAAGTGGGAGTCGGCGGATTCAGGGGGTGTGGAACTACAACTTCTTCTTCGACGAGGAGGTTCATAAGCACAACGAGTCGTCGCTTTCCACTCTGCGCGTCTCGGGGGTCGACGTTGCCCGGCACAAGCTCGAAGGGATTGATGCCGTGGCCTTCGGGCAGAACCTCGGCAACTCGGTGCTAGTGGGCCAGTACGGGTGCACCCCGTGGTGGCTTACATTCAGCGGCTCCTACCACTTCGGGTTCCTCCTGAAGGTCATCGAAGATGGGCCCTCAAAGCAGCCAGACAGCCATGGGACCGAGGCCAGATTCTAACGCACCCTCCGCCTGGGGAACCGATGGATCAGGACCCCAAGAGGCAGTCGATGCGGGTATTCTCGGGCCCTCGGTTGGCGCATACACCCATATCTGGGGTCCTGGGAAGTTATTTTCCCAAGGCGGTGGATGCAGATGTTAGTATATCTGAATGATATGCGCGTATAAAATTTGTCCATGTGCCGACCATGTAAACATAAGGCAACGAAAGCATTCTCGGATGTGTGCGAGGCTAGACAGCTGGCAGCCAATTCGCAGACCGAGAAGCTGCCAGACGGCTGCCCGCGCGCAGGTGCCGGCGGGATTCTCGACTCGGCCCAGCTCAGCCACTTTCGGCATGCTGGGGTCGGCGGAAGGCTGGCGGAAGCGAACGTTGCCCCCGACGACGACGAGGACGTTCTGAGGCGTAGAAGTTGTTACCAACACCAAATATCGGCAGTCGCCCCCACCTATGGAAGATGCCCCTGATTTCGATGATCGTGGTAATACCTAGGCTTCTTCGGTGGTCGAGAGATCACCACGAGCACCAGGATCAAGTATGATTTTTGTCCCGCGGAGGCACCTCCTGCTTCTGATTGGTGTTGTGTATGGAAACCTCGCAGGGTGTGCCTTTTCCAAATCTGCGCTTCGGCGCGGATCGTTGGCGAGCCTCGTCATCGTCGGCGTCGACGTCGTCGTCGGTGTCGGCGCCGGCCGTCTCCTGGCCCCGGGGAGGAGGGGAGGAGAAGAAACGCGTGTGTGCAGAAGACTTGACCACTCCTCCCCGACGCGCAGGCGCAGAAGTCGGAGCTCGTAGAGAGGAGAACGCAGGACGCTCCCAGGGTGGGGCCCGTGCCGATGGCCCCTCGGGAGCGCGTGAGGGACCCTCCAGAGACCCAGTGGAAGAGCCGAACGGTACCCCAGCGTCTACTGGGCTCTTGAATCCTGGTTCCGCTTCGCCGCCAGTCCGGTCGGAACCCAGATTGCTACCCCAGGTCATTTTGGTGAACCACCAGCACTGGCGGTTGCGTATCCATTTGCTTGTGCGACGGCTCGTCGCGACTCCGACCTGGCAGCTCTGCACCTGGGACACACCCGCCCCTCTCTTTCGGGGGACGGGACTGCACCCTTGCCGCTCGGACCGAGAATGGCCACCCCAGGTCTCTCTGGGGAGCCAGTGGCACCAGATGTCCCGTGTCCACCTTCCTGCGCGATGGTTAGTCGCGGACCTGGCTTGAACGTGGAAGTGAACGGCAAATTGCTCAGGGCTTGAGAGCCCTGGCCTGTGAGCGGCCGACCCCTGGGTGTGGTCGTGACGCCGCCCCGAGCCCGCTGCCAGGGGCGCAGCGCCAGCTTGGTCGCCCAGGGCGCCCCACCGCGGTACCGGGACGTCCACGCTGCGTGAGCGCGGTGGTGCTTTTCCACCCCCCCGCGGCCGCTTCTCTCTTCTTCTCCTTTGCCGCGTGCGCCTGGGCAATTCGCAATGCCGCTCCCAGCTTGCTGAGCACGCGTGCGGACTGTCTCTGCCGCGCCGCGACGTAGAAAAGTTTGGCGCCCTCCGTTTCCGGTCCAGGAAAACTTTACAACCGATGTTCCAGTATAGGTCCTGTGCCGAGATAGTGATGGACAGAGTGTGCAGTCGTCAACAGCCAACTTGGGGAAGTTGGAGGGAAGTGCCATGATGATTTCTCAAAGAGGTTTTCAAGCAAGCAGGGCACTGGCGCGCCCGAGAAAATCTTGGGCATGCGCATGGGTGGAACCCTTCACGCCCTGGCTCAGGGGGCCCTTGGTGCCATCCGGGAGAGATTGGTACGCACGCGGGGGGCGCCTGTGTGCGAGGTCCGTTCATAGCATCACTCTATATGTATATATACACATTTATATATATATATATATATATATATATGTATATGCTGCGGCCGCCTCGGCTCAGGTACTGGAAACAGGTACAGCGCCGCCTGCCCGCGGCGAATGGGGAAAAGGGATCGCTACTCCTTACCTTCCTCTATCTACGGCAACCCTTGTAGATTCGACTCTTCGGTCGCCAACCCACGCACACACGCGCCATTCAGTGCCTTGCCCTGATCAGCCGGAGCCCCGACGATAAGTGCACGGCGCCCCATTCCGAGCAGGACCCGTGAGGTGTCCCGGGCGGGCCGCCGAGAAGCAGCAGCGACATCACACGGCACATCACACCGTTTAACTTGGGCATGTCTGTCTACAGGTGGAATATTCAAAGATAGTCGAAGATAGGGGGACGAGTTTGTGAAGTCGTTTTGGATCGTTTTCATTTTTCCCACGTAAGGATCGCCTGTAGGGGGACATGCTTGACTTAAGGCTCCGTGTGTCTTTCTGTGTCCACGAGCTCCCCGGGACAAGGGCGTGCAGAAACCATACATCCGACGATCTGTTGTCGTTTCGGTCCAGGCGTTTCTGTTCCACTTCGGTTTTTCTGGGGTCCATGATCGGGCCGTTGGACCACCGACGACGGCTTCGGGACGAGCCACGACCCCAAGGGAAGCCGTCACCACCTTCTGGGGCGACCCATCATGACGCATAATAACATACCGTCGGATGTGTGGGAACGTTGACATTTCTCCCCCTTTCTCCTCAGGCCAAAGCCCCTCCAAAGCGAAGTTCCCGGGCCATTCCTGGCAGCAGAACCTCCAGAAACGGGGAGGGGGGCGGGAGGGTAAAGTCCGAAACGCCGCCACCGCCGCCGCCGCTGTCGTCTTCGTCGTCGTCGTCGTCATCATCGTCGTCGTCGTCGTCGTCCCCCAAGCTTTTGGGCCGCCATGGCTCCTTGTTGGGGCCGGAAAACACTGCCGTGACCGGGCCTCCGAGGTGACCGCATTGGCTTGGGACTCTGGCCGGTCTCCGATGGCGTCTGGGGTGGCTGTAGCCTCCGAGGTCCCAAAGCCGTGCGGGGGTGCGGTGAGGTCGTTGGGTATTCCAAGTGTCTTAAGGTCGACCTCTGGAACTCTCGTGAGGCGCGTTCTGACCAGAATCTCGAGGCGGATCTCGCCGTGGCCACCGGGGCGCCCTGGACGATCAGAAACGCCCAGAGTGCGAACCTCGAACCTCGAACCTCGAACGTTCCTTCACTGCCGCTGGCCGGACGGGGCTAGGACAAGGATCAGTCACTTTCAGAGCTCTGGAACGCTCTGAGAGCGTTCCTGAACGCTCTGAGAAGACAGCGGCGACCGAGGCATCCTCCAGAGCCGCCGGATCTCCGAGATTATCGATTAATGTTCACCCGGATTCATCCTTTTCCAGGCTTCGTCTTAGTTGGCCGAATTGTCTGTCACCGCACCGCTTTGCGGGGGCCTTCTCAGAAGGCTCGGGAGTCCCCTGGCCTTCCCGGAAGGTTTCTAAGCCTTCGCGAATACACTGCAAACAAAAATCAGAAGGCCGGAGGACCTCTGAGAAGCCACGCCGCCTTCTGAGAGGGCCTTCTCCTTCTCACTTTCCCCCTCGCTCAACGCACCGCTTTGGGATCCCCATCTCTGGGATCCCAGGACCGAGGATCGAGGATCGAGCGACGATCGAGCGAGGATCGAGGATCGAGGATTGAGCGAGGAGCGAGCGAGGATCGAGGATCCAGGATCGAGCGAGGATCGAGCGAGGAGCGAGGATCGAGGATCGAGCGAGGAGCGAGGATCGAGTCCTCCCCGCCGCAGCGAAGGTGCTGACGAAGGGCCGGCCGCTCCCCGAGGAGGTGGGCTCGTTCCTGGGCGCGCTGTCGGTCCATCCCTGCCTTCGGGGGGGGGGGTGGAGGGGACGAGGAGGAGGAGTGAGGAGGAGGAGGAGGAGGAAGAGGAGGAGGAGGAGAAGGAGGAGGAGACCAGGAGGAGCAGGATACTGGCGGAACGCACAGCCTTAAGGGTGGCTGGTCCCTGTATGAAAGAATTTCGGTGTTGATCGCTGCTCTTCGGTGATGCCTGTTGCCCCTTGCTGGGGGGGCAGAACTAGCGGCCACCACTCGAGAGAAACGTGCGCGAAAGTTGAGACCATTTGCGGATGGACGGCGACCAGTTCAGAGCGGATAGAGTCTTCAGCCATAAGCTAGAATGACGGGAAAGAGCATTCGGGAAATCTGGCAGCGGGGAAGGGTGCGGCGGTGGGAGATGCGGCGATGAGAGAGCGGATGATGGGAGAGAGAAGGTGCGATACATATATATATATATAGAGAGAGAGAGAGAAACAAAAAAAGAGTGGGAGAGAGAGAGGGAGAGAGAGAGAGAGAGAGAGAGCGAGAGAAAGAGAGAAGGAGGGAGGAAAGAGAGAGAGAGAGAGAGAATAAGAGAGACAGGGAGATAGAGAGACAGGGGATGAGAGAAGGGAGAGGGAGAGGGAGAGAAAGAAAGAGAGACATGGAGATAGAGAGAGAGAGAGAGGGGCGGGCACCGTGGGAGCTGGAGGAGCGGGGCAGGAGGTGGTGCTGGGGAGCCGGCGGGAGCGCGCAGGAGCACAGGGGGCAACGGGGCGGCAGGGTGGCCAAGGAAAGACGGGGCAGCGGCGGAGGCGGCAGTGATGATGATGAGGAGGAGGAGGAGGAGGAGGAGGAGGAGGAGGAGGAGGAGGAGTGACGAGGAGGAGGAGGAGGGAGGCGGAGGAGGAGGCGGAGGAGGAGAGTGAGGAGGAGGGAGGAGGAGGAGGAGAGGAGGAGGAGAGGAGGAGGACGAGGAGGAGGAGGAGGAGGAGGAGGAGGAGGAGGAGGAGTGAGGAGAAGTGGAGGAGGAGGAGGAGGAGGAGGAGGAGGAGTGATGAAGGAGGAGGAGGAGGAGGAGGAGGAGGAGGAGGAGGAGGAGGAAGGTTGCTGGTGTCGCCCGTGCTCCCTGGCCTTTTGAGGGTCTTGCGAGGGCGCGCGTCGAGAGTGCAAGGGCCGCCGCGATGGCTTGCACCGCGTGGTTGGGAGCTGTGCAGCGGCATCCCCACTCTACACGCAGGGCTGCGCCGAGGTGGTGTACATGTTCGGTTCCACTGCTGGTTGTGGAGGATGCCCAAGAGCACGTTCCAAACGTCACGGAAAGGGCGCGGGGCAAGGCTGATGCATGAGAGCGGCGCTCTTTGCATGGAGATCCACAGGGAAGTTAGAGTTCGATGCGCAAGTAAGGGTTTCCGAACAAGCGATGCGCCAACACCAGTCGCCGACACTATCGCCCCCGCGGCTGGGACAGAGGGAACAAGATGCCCCCCCCGGGGGGGCAGCGTCCTCGAAGACCGCGCGTGCAGAAGCTGTGAGGCTGTATGAGGGCTTGTGGATGTTCGGATGCAACTCCTGTGAGGTCAAATTCTGATTTTGCCCTGGTCTGAAATCCGGCTTAATCCCGCCGAATGCCGCTTAATCCGGCTTGATCCCGCTTAATCCGTTCAATCCGGCTTAATCCGGCTGAATCCCGCTTAATCCGGTTTAATCCCGTTAATCCTGCTTCATCCGGCTTAGTCCGAGGCCCATTCCGGCGTAACAGCCCCCCAATGGGGCTAAATCCTTTTTAGTTCATCCGACGAAAACCTCTTAGTAGTTGCCTCCTAATGGATACACCGAGCAAGTGCTCGCGACTCCTGACCCGATCCGACCGGGCCGTGCCGGGGACTTGGGCGGGGGAGCGGCCGAGAGCCGATCGACCAGTCCTCGCCCGGGGACTGCGGAACGTCTGGGGGAGGTTGGGCGGCCCACAGGGCATTCCAGAACCCTTTTATTAATCGTGCCCGAGGTCCCGTTTTTCAATCCGAGGCGGAAATTTATCCATATCCACCGCCTGGAGGATCAGTTTTCGGAACCTCGGCAGGCGGTGGACATGGACGTACTCGGGCTTCGAGGGCCGAAATATATCCATATCCACCGCCCGCTGGGGCACCAGGGCGTCGGTTCCCAGGCGGTGGATATGGATAAATCACCGCCTCGCATTTGAGGCGCCTTTATTGGTAACTGGGGGGGTCCGGTCTGTTAGGACGCTTTGTTTGGATTGGAGCTTAGGGGGTCCAGTTTATTCAGGTGCCCCGTCGAAGAGGGGGGGGGTCTGGAATATCAGGTCGCATTTGGAGGGGGGTCCAGTTTTTTAGGAGGATTCGATTAATAAGGGATTTGGAGTAGCAGGAGAAAGGGGCACGCAGCTTGGGCGGGAAGTGCGGGCAGCAGGCGCAGGAGGAGGGCCCGCTGCAGTGAGACGAGGAGCGGGCCGAGCAGGGGAGAAAGGAAGGGGCGGGTGGCCAAGAAAGACGGGGTAGCAGCGGCGGCGGCAGGATGAGGAAGATTGCTGGTGTCGCCCCGGCTCCCTAGCCTTTCGGGGCTTGCGAGGGCGCGCGTCGAGAGTGCAAGGGCCGCCGCGAAGCTTGCACCGCGTGGTGTGGAGCCGTGCAGCGGCATGTCCATTCTACGCGCAGGTGCGCCGAGGTGATGCGCACATTCGGTTCCACTGCTGGTTGTGGAGGATGCCCAGAGGCAAGGTCCAAACGTCACGGGAAGGGCGCGGAGCAGTGCTGATGATGCGCGGCGGTGCGCCTCTTCCCCTTCCTTCGCCCGCGTGGGCGCCCTGGCCGCGCCACGGCGCCCGGCCGCTGACGCGTCGATCCCGAGGGGGGAGCGCGCCACTTTGATGGGGTAGCCCTTCGCCTGGAGGCCCTGCGTGGGCCGCGAGCGCGAGGGGAGGGATCGGAGGCGACGACTGTGGTCTGGGGGGGGGGCTCGAGGCCCCTGTCGACCTGCTTGGGCTCGCCCGCTGTCCTGGCCACCGCGTCGCCCACGAACGTCCATAGTCCTGCGTAGGCTTACGCAGTCGTGGTGCGCTCGCAGAAAGATGGGCCTGCGGGAGACTCTCGCCATTTCGCCGCCATGTCTACTGCCCGCAACAATGGACCTCCGGGGGTCGATGATGCCACTGACCCAGCCGTGCATGCGGAGGTACCTTGTCGAGATGAATATTGGCACTTCGAAGGTCACCACGATCGGCGGGAATTTCTCGGCGACGGCCGCCTCGAAGAGGAGCGCGAAGCTGACCGAGTCATAGGTCTTCTCTGCGCCCATACGGAGCGTCGCCAACGCGGTGCCGAAATCCGCTGCCAGTTCGTCCGGGGGAGCCCTGGCCAGCGCTGCCCCGTGCGCGCTGGGCCCCGCGATGGCGGTGCCCCAGAGCTCGCCCAGCTCGCGGGGCCACTGGTCGGTGATATTGGGGCGGATCTTGCTCCATGCCGTTGGGATGGGGGGGGCGTTCCGAGGATGCGCTCGCCCCCTGCTGGTTTGGGGACCATGGCCCCTATCGTGGCGCAGAGCTGCTGGGGTCACCGCTCGCGGTCCTCCACCTCGCTGCAGACGTCGGCGAACTGCCGGATGCCCTGGCTCGGGAGGCGCTGCATGTCGATGGGGCCGATGTTGTCCACGCCTCTGGCCTTCCTAGGGCTGGCGGTGCTGAAGACGGCGGTGATGTGCTGCGGCTCTACGGCGGGAAGGGGGTCTTCCCTGGCGAGGCGCACGGTATTCTTGCGGCCATGGTCTCCATCTCGGCGCAGGAGCTGGTTTTCCAGATCTTCCTCCAGTCGTCGGCAGCGGAGTTCATGACCAGGAAGCGGTCGCCGATGGCGGTGCGGTCATGCTTGGTCTCCAGGCGCTGCATGCTGGGATCAACGACGGTGAAGCGTAGCTTGCCGGGTGCCTCCTTCCAGGCCTGCTTCGCCCAGTCGACGTTGCGCTTGCGCGCTCGGCCTGCGGCTCTCCCCATTGACTTGTGGGTCCATCTCTGGGTCGTCGCGCAGAAGTGGTGGAGATCGTCGTCGTCGCAGAAATCGATAGAGGCGATCTGGAGCTTCCACGCGTCCACCTCCTGTGGGTCGGTCTTGGTGCCGAAGTTGTCCCTCTCGAGCCCTGGTTTCTCAAGCTGGCCTATCCTGAGGGTCATGGGGCTGCAGATCTGCTCCTGGGCCTCCAGGTCCTTCTGGTTATTCACGATCGCGGAGCAGCGCGTGATGGGGGTGCGGACGTGCTGCCGCCAGGATGCCTCCGGGCTCTTCAGGTATACGCGGCCTCGTGACGCCCTGATGGTCTGATTCGCCGTCTTGCAGCCCTCGGCCCTGCCCTGGCATTTTGCGACCCAGTCGGCGTGGTGGCGTTTCTCTTCGCAGCCCTGCTCGGCAAGTGCTGGTGGAAAACGTGCCCTCAGCCTTCCTCGGTGCCGACCAGGTGCCCCTCAAACTTCGGGTAGCTGCCCGCGACCTTCGCGGCCTGGTCCCAGGTGCCCTCCTTAGTCGTGAGGGGCGTGGAGACGGGATCCGCAGTGACAATGTCGCCCCCATGGAGGGTGTCGAACTCGTCGCGCAGGTGTTCTGGTAACCTATCCCTCCTCTGCCCGAGCTTTCGACTTTCAGGGTTCTTGGCCCGGCTCGGGGAGGGATGGCCGGGAACCTTGATCGATTTGTAGTTCCAGGGCTTGGTGGTGCCCGCGGTGACTTGGATGCCGCGCTGGTCTTCCACGGAACGTCGTAGACCGCCGGCGCGTGGATGTGCGTGGCGAGGGCCGTTCGCGCGATGGCGTGGTCTTACACGGAGCCCGAGCCCTTGTCGCACGCGGCCCTGCACCCCGGGTCGGTGAGGATGGTGCCGCTTCACTTGGTGAGCCTCGGTTTGTCGTCCCACCAGTGCGGATCGTGGCTCCGATCGGCGAGGATGGTGCAGGGGCCGCTGAGCAAGTCCAAGAGGGTGGAGATGGAGGTCAGGCTGTCCCTGTTCGCGCCCTGATCTCGAA